CTGTCTCCTTCTACGCGTTCCACTTTCCATTACCAATTTATAGAACCCTCTACAAGGGTATAAGAAAAACATAAACTAAGGCCCGTCCCGTCCCAGGACATGCTTTAAAGATGAGCGAGCAAAGTACACAATAATTTGACAAGTCATAATATTGATTGCATGGCCCAAAGATTTATGGCCACATATGCGATTTAGGGTTTTAGCCACGATTATGGCTTGTAATCGAACAGTTCGACAATGTCGGCCATAAATCTCTCAACCAGCGAGCATTTTAAATCATACTGGGGCAAGATTTACAAGTGTGTCCCGAGGCCGAGGCCCGGCTCAAGTGGTTGTCCGGGCAACATATGTGCGGCTCTCTATTTTTTATAAATTTCACCAAAACAAGTAGAGAACGAAAAAAAAGGGTTGTTGTGCTGGGGGTGGGGCTGCCTAGTTGAACTAATTTCGGGCACATTTCCCTTTGCACCATATTTTTTTTTTCCATTTGCGTTGCCTTTTACAGACGATAAATTTAACGCAATTTTTCTACGATTGTTCAGGCGCAAGGTTTTTTCTCGGTCTCGAAACGCCTTGGAATTTATGCAAATGCGCGTGAAATAGTCGTGGAATTGTTGGCTGCAAAAAAATAGAAAAAAAAAAAACGGTGGAAAATAAAAGAAATTAACAAACATAAAATTAATGTTTGCACCCAACAAATATGCGCCGAATGCGAAGCTGCACGTGTTTTCATTTGGCCGTGCCGAGTTTTCCGATTCGATTCCATTTTCATTGCAACCACTTTTCTTTTGTGCGCCAGCCTGGCATTAGCTAAAATTGTTTTTCGTTCTCTCATTTTTTTTTTCTGCTTAAACTGTCAACGATGTGTGTGATAGAAATCACATTTGAGTCCTGCGAGTGCTGCGAGTGCTGCGAGTCCTGCTCCACCTGAAGTCGATTCGAAGTGCACATCAAAATGCAGAGATTGTTGCCAAGTGCCAATAAGCGCCAGCCGAATGGCCAAAATGTGCAGTTAACTAGAGAATGTGCGAGACACGGTTATCTTCCATTTAGATAACCAGAAATTGCAAAACAGAAATATCTTCCATATCTGTGCCATCTGATGGGATTACATTCGAATCGGAATAACAAATGCAGCACAGGCACTTTAATTGCACGACGGGGTCAGCCTTAATTTCCACACTTAAGCCTATCTCCCTCTCTCTCTCTCTCTCTCTCGCTCTCGCTCTCTCTCGCTTTCTCCACCTTGCCGTACAACTAATGACCCACAGGAAGTTCGTTAGTTCTGAAAACGTTGAATTTTTCTTTATTAAATTTTTACTTTTATCATCAGCAAAATGTTTTGGAAAAACAAAATGAGGAAAAATGTACGAGGCCGTGTAATGAATAATGCATGAAATTGTCCTCTCAACAAAGCCTTCAAAACTGATGATGATGGGCCAAAGGGGGCGTGGACGGGGCATGGCAGTGATTATCTGTCTACAAATGTGAGTAAATGAGCGTGTGTGCGTGTGTGTGTCATTAAATGCACCCCCTCCCTCTGTCTCTATCTCTGTCTCCATCTCTATCTCTATCTCTGTTGAATGGTTGCAATTACCCAAACCAGCGGAAAATGCCTTAATTCGACATACACAAACAGACATAAAGCTGACGAGAGCACAGTTTAGATACTATATAGAAGGTAAACGATATAAATATAGAAAATTATTTACATGCATAGACATATATAAGATGCAAGATATATATATATATATATATATATATACATATATAGAGAAAGTTATAGGCATGTTAATGCATTTATACAACCTTATACATCTATATCTCTTAACTTATGAAATGCTCCTCCTTATGGCTTTGGCTCTGGCTTGATGCTGCATCTAAAATCTGTACGATTTTGAATATATTTTTGATAGTTTTGTCATCTTGAAACCTTCAATTTGTTCTAAGATCAAAGTTAGTAGGAAAAGCTTTTTATAAAATTATGCAGAGGCTCAATTTGGCAATAAAATATTATGCCAAAAATGATAAATAAATTTGGGTCTGGGCAAGTTTCTAGTGAATGCTCCCTCCATACTTCCATAACTTTATGCAAAAGTCAAGCGATTTTGTTGAAGATTGAGATTTGTTTTATTTCCTCTAGAATATTGTTTTTAAATTTGAACAATCGCAGTAAATTAAATAATGGTTGTTGCTCTGCAGAGTTCATTGCTTACCTTCTCTATATATATTTCTCCCTGCTTACCCTCCCTCTCTCGCCCAGTCTTTCATGTGTAGTTATTTTTATTAGTTGCTCTTCAATTAGCCTCCGAGCAGGTTCCGCTCATCATCCTGGCGCGCTTTGTTTGCGCAAATTGACTGACACTGATGTCTATCCGCCCATCCCCCGGCATCCGATCTGCCCACGCCCTCGCCCAGCACACACTGACAGCAAACTGACACCAGTCGAGCTTCAGCTCCGCTCCCGCCACCCCACACACACGCACACACGCACACACATGTTACCATTGTCGTACGTGGCGCACACGCAACAGACGCTGCCTCCGCCCAGTTCTACATATGCTTTATTAGTTTATTCCGTCCCGAGGGTTGTTGTTGTTGTTGGACTTGCGCTAATATTAATTTATTGTCAATGTTGCCATCTGCCCCTCACCCGCTCACAGCCGCCTCTGACCGACTTCCTCCGCACTGATATGCATCAAAATGAGAAAGGACAATTTAATTTCATTTAGCAGCGCAGGCACAGGACATGGCAGGACTCCTCACGAGCCATTATTAACACTTGCGACCACAAAAAGTCGGTCAAAAACTTGGCAATTCGCTTTTGGCCGAGCTTCTCACATGGCTCTAATTAGGAAATGATGAATTCGGCAGTCGTTGGGGCAGCCAGCACATGTGTGTGGCGCCTGGTTGGTCAGAAGTAGCTCGCAGCATGGGCGGCGGGTGTGGAGGGGGAAGGGCAGGGAGCTCTGCGACTGGAGCGAAGCGGAGGCAATTCTGACTGCATGCAACCCCGAGGCGGGCCGCTTTCATAATTCATTTTGAATACTTTTCGCTTATCGCTGAGGGAAAGATTTATGTCAGACACTTTGGTAACATGATACCTGGACGCAGAGAGGGATTGGGTAGTAGAAGGAGGGGGAGGGTACAGCTCTGGGCGCTCAAAGCTCAACTCCTTGTGCGTTTGCAAATGATTTAATGCTCACTTACAGTCGTTGGCTACCGAGTGGCTCCCGCTCCTGTTCCTGTTCCGTTTCGTTCCCAGAGGCGCCATTAAATCTCATTAAAAAGTTGCCGCTGCCATGCAAATGCGCAAGTAGCTGGCCGATGGACGGGTGGGGGGGAGGTGGAGTAGCATGCAAATTATAAATGTTCGTCGCAACAATGCAAAGAAAAACTTGCACAACTTTTCACGCTTTTCACGCGACTCGAAATTGATGTCCTGCTAGCTTTTCACATGGCTTATGTATGCGAGCGTGCGTGTATGTGTGTGTGTGTGCGTGTGTGTGCAGTTCATTGGTTATGCATGAAATTGAAATGAAGTGGAACGATGATGGCCATCATTGATTTGGGCTTGACAAATGTGCAAAGCTTTCAATCGAAATGAGCTGAATGAAATGAAATGTCGCCATTTGGAATTGAAACATGCGTCAACTGTAATTGAAAATTGAAATTGGCATTGGAATTGACAAAGGGGATTGACTGAGTCAGCGGACAATTTAGCTGCTGTCCGAGTTTATTAATCATTTATAAATGTTTTCTTTATTATTAAAAAATCTGCATAATAAATACACGCACATTGCCTCTCGCTCACGCACACGCACACGCACACGCATGCACGCAGCGGCACAAGGCAAATACAACTATATGCATGCGTGTGCTTGCATGTGTGTGTCCACAAAGAGAACGAGAGCGAGCGAGAGAGAGCACGCACACATTTTGCATTAATATTTCAGTCACATTTCAAAGCAAGAAGAAGAAAAAACAACGACAGACAAACATACAAAGAAAACAGACAGACAAAACAACAGACAGCCCGAAAGTAAATAAGCAAACAAGGAGCAGCATATCGCAAGAGAGGCGAATGGAAGAGAGAGCATAAACGGTATGAGGCTCTATGTGGGAGCCATGTTAACGCTGCGCTTTACATAAGCAAATAGAATACAAAGTTTATATTGCATTCCAGCGAGGGGCAAACGGGCGAGAAAAGGACGGCGCCATTCCTATATACTGTTATATACCTAAGCCATATACCAGGCAAAATACACACACACACACACAAGCATAAGCATGCTTTGCAGTATGTGCGTGTGTATGTGTGGCTATGTACATAGCCCGGTCACGTCCCGCCCATTCACTTGGAAAGTCGATGCTCGATGTGACTGATTACTGCGTCTCTGTTGTTGCTGCTGTTGTTGCTGCTGTTACTGTTACCGGGTGGCTGCCTATGCTACCGCTGCTGCTGTTAATGACAAACAATGTCTGCCATTTTGGCAACGGATCGCAAATATTTCACAGTTAGCGGATGGCAAAATGGAAGGTCAAGTATAGCTAGAAGAACTGCATGGAAGAAGCTGCAGTGATAAGTGTCAACAAGTACAGTTCAAATCGGGTAATAGATAATGATTTAGTGTTACGATAATGGGAGCATGTTAACATTGCTTCAGATATATTCGAAAATAAAATGTTCTACAGTTTTTCTCGATCTTTATGATAAAGTATTTCCATATTGATAGAATGTGGTTTAAATGCAAGATATATAACGAAAATATTGCACATCTAGAATATACAGCCTTTCTGGTTAAAAAAAATACCTTCCTCAATGCATCAAACATTTCAGAGTTTATTTATAGCACATCCTCTGCCATCTTTTATGAAACTTTATTTTGAGTTTTGAGAACTTCTAAAAGTTATAACAACGCCTGCTCAATATACAGACAGGAAACCGTATGGCTATTAGTCAAGACATTTCTTTTGAAGTCCAAAATGTTCATTCTCCATTTTGACAAAAAGTCCCCCCCCGACAACAGAGTTCGACAGAAAATCGGTAAAAATTATAATTGTAACTTTTTAATATGTGAGCTGCGTCTGCTTTGGGTTTCTCATTTGAATATTTTTTTCTACCTTTTTATTTTGTGGGGCATTTCGTTGGTTTTCTTATTCTCAGCACTTGGCGGTAATTTGTCTGCGGATCAAACAATTGTCGAATCAGCCAGAACTTTCGGGCAAAGGTTTATGTTAATGCCGTCTCGCTAAAAAGAGGCCAAAGCAGGTGGGCCTGTGTTAATATGTTGCTTACTTATTCAACAGGCACTCGACACTAATCAACTAAAGTGACTCCCGGCAAGAGCAGGCGACAAGAGGACTCCAATTCACGAGCTGCACGCATCCTTTGCCAAGGAATTATGCACTCGCCTCGCAGCGGAGCGAAGCACATAAAACATTCCGCTGCATAATTGAACAAGTTGGCAGGGCGAGTCAGTGCGGCAGGGGTTGGGTGCGGGTGCGGGTGCGGGTGCGGGTGCGGGTGAGGGGGCAGGCAGGATGCCAGGACGACGCCAAACGAATTTATGGCAGCACCCGCCCATATGTCTTTGGAGACTTATTTGTTGTGCCGACTGGGTGTATGCGCTACACTCAGAGAAAAGCAAGCTTCAATTATTTGAATGTCCCAATTTTCCCATTTAAAAAATTTTGTTTTTTAAGAAAAAGGTGCCTGTATAAACGCATGAAGCGAATATTCGGAATATACACCAAATCGAATATGAATCAATCCAAATATAAATAAAATTAAAGTGAATTTTTGAAATATCCGTTAATTGAATATGAGTCAAACTGAGCATTTATATTAAAAGATGAGAGCATTATATTATAATTAAATTATTTATAGGAATATATATCTTATAGATAGGAAAGGGTTTAGTCAAAATATACTTTTCGATTGCCCATTAAAAGTGAATCTCCCTAGGGAGTACTTATTTGTGAGTCTTTTAGTCACAGACTAAGAAGATAATGCTGCCTCTTTGATACGAATCTCTTGGCACTGGTTTTTTCTCTCAGTGTATGGGTGTGGCTTTGCGGTTGTGCCGCACAATTGTCATCCGGCTGGCAGCTCCATGACAATCGCTGCCGATTGCGTTGCATTAAATATTTTTATGGGCCCTGCTGGTTGAGCTTCATTGTTTTATTATCCTGCTGCTCATCAGAGCTGGCTTTTAACATGAATATTTCAAAAATCTGCGTCGCACTATGCCAGTATCGGGCTAAAATGATGCCACATGCTTTTTGCATAGAAAAAGTTAATCTTTTTAAGTAAATTCCTTGCTGAAATTAAAGTGCGAGCTGCCAGAGGAGCTAAAGCTAAAGCTAGAGCTGGAGCTGGAGTTGGAGCTGTGGCTGTGGCACTTGGCTTTGGTTAGCTGTAATATTCACACACACGTACACACACACATACGCACTTGCCGCGTTGCATGCAACGCTCGTAGAGTACGTCGACGGCGGCAGCTCCTTTGCCAGCGGAGACAGAGACTAACGTTTCGCGCACGTGACGCGCATTTCCAATTAGATTTATGATTTTAATACTTCGTATTTTTTCATAAAGTCAGCTCCCCTCCTCGCCCCTCTCACTCCCTGTCTCTCACTGGCACTCACTGAAAGCAGCAAAAGACTTTGGCCCGTTCGGGGCGTTAGTATGAAATTTCCTAGTTAAGCCAAGCGAGCCAAAGTATTCAGTTAATGCGAATGGGTTAAGACTAAGTTGAGCCTGGCTGGCAATGTTTCAGAATCTTCTTGGCCAGCAGAGCATTCAAACATGGACATATGCGCACATATTAGTTACAGCTACTAATTCGATCTAATTATTCGAGACTTTTAAAGCGTACAATTAAGTGTAATACAGTTTTCTAGGGAATTTTTCAAATATTTGTCTGATATATTTAAGTGTAACATATAGAATTCGATTGGAGTCAGTTATAAATATTGGAATATTAAAAAAAAGATACTTAAGTCCGCATTAAGAATGCCCTTGTCGAGAGTGCACGACTAGTGAATACCCTGAACCTTTTTCCCCGAAAGGTGGCAATAGATAGATAGATCTGTAAGTAATACATATTCTAGAAGCTACATTTGAAATTTGGTAATTTTATCTCAAATAACATAAGAGATTTGCTCAAAAAACATAATTCCGCTATCGATATTTATCGATTGCTTGACAACGGTGTAAGTTATCGATAATCGGAAACGAACTCGCATTTAACATCTTTAGGGCTGCATTAATATCTCCGAGTAGCACTATACGTTATTCTGCCAGGTTATCTTTACCTGCGCGCGACTTTAGTTGACATTTCTCAAACAATTCCCAGAGTCAATTAATCATTGGCCTCACATCGAAGTGCTCATAAAATTTGTTAATTTTCCACAGCAAAGACCTGAAAATAAAAAGACATCAAACTGAAAATCAGGCCAAATCTAAACGAGAGCAGCTTTAAGTTGCGGTCAGCTAGGGTTTATCTTTATCTTTATTTTTCTGGTAGGTTGCTCGATGGGTTTTTACGGCGCACAGAAGCACGGCACGATGCAGGGGCGCGGACAGGGTCTTAGGGAGGGGGGTTAAAGTATAAGGTACCTTATCTGAAATGGGAAATCATTACCGCGTTTTTATTGTTTTACAGTTTGCAGACAAATCACAGATTTCGTAGTTCTGCTTGTTGTTGGCTTTATTTTTTTTTTCTTGTTTTATTTTTTAATGCCGCAACTTTTGCTGTAAAAATATTTTAACAACATTTCACGTAATTTCAACAACAAAATAATTACATTTTTAAGTGGACTTACAATGTATTTCTCACATTTGGAACGTTAAATGTCGAAATCGGGGGAAAACGGCACACGAAATACGAAATGCGAAGCGAATGAGATTTTCGGATATCCCATTAAAACAGCTCCTAAATGATATACGAAAAACGTAGCGAATGGGAATTTTTGGGTTTCTATTAAACTTCTAATTAAAGTACGACTCTTCTTATCTATATGTTTGGCCAAAAATGAACTATGAACTTCCACTTAACCTAATTAAGAAATACGATGTCTATTCGACTTTCAATTTTTGCTATTAATGTCCACCTAACTCATATACTAATTGAATTTTATTTACACTCTTCTCTATATAAAACAGTTAAGCTTGAGTGATTGATTGACGGGATTTCGGGAAATTCCACTCGTATGTGTGAAAAATTCACGAAAACTTTTTATATACAACTTTTTGGTTTACCATACGATCAGATTTATTTATTTTTTTAAATTTATTTTCCACGTTCCGCGGGCAATGCTAGGTAAATACCCGCTTTTATCCTATATAGACATAGGTAAAAATTTCCCAACCCCATAACTTGGCCAAAACTCATCAGATTTTCACGGGGCTTGGCTTTTTATGCATAGTTTTCCCTCTTAAATAATCTGGCATTTAAACCTGACTACGTAAATATTTGTCGAAATTCATGTCAAAATCTTAACCCTTAGATTCGTATAAAGACATAGGTCAAATTTCCCAACCCCATAACTCGGTCAAATCTCATTCGATTTTCACGAGGTTTGGCTTTTTATGCATAGTTTTCCCTCTTAAATAATCTGGCATTTAAATCTGAATTCGTAAATTTTAGTCGAAATTCATTGTCAAAATCTTACGCCTTAGATTCGTACATATATAGACATAGGACATAATTTCCCAATCCCATAACTCGATCAAATCTCATCAGATTTTCACGAGGTTTGGCTTTTTATGCATAGTTTTCCCTCTAAAATAATCTGGCATTTAAATCTGACTACGTAAATTTTGGTCGAAATTCATGTCAAAATCTTACCCCTTAGATTCGAATACAGACATAGGTCAAATTTCCCAATCCCATAACTCGGTCAAATCTCATCAGATTTTCACGAAGTTTTGTTTTTTATGCATAGTTTTCCCTCTTAAATAATCTGGCATTTAAATCTGACTACGTAAATTTTGGTCGAAATTCATGTCAAAATCTTACCCCTTAGATTCGTATATGTACATGGGTCGAAATTTCCCAATCCCATAACTCGGTCAAATCTCATCCGATTTTCACGAGGTTTGGCTTTTTATGCATAGTTTTCCCTCTAAAATAATCTGGCATTTAAATCTGACTACGTAAATTTTGGTCGAAATTCATGTCAAAATCTTACCCCTTAGATTCGAATACAGACATAGGTCAAATTTCCCAATCCCATAACTCGGTCAAATCTCATCAGATTTTCACGAGGTTTGGCTTTTTATGCATAGTTTTCCCTCTTAAATAATCTGGCATTTAAATCTGACTACGTAAATTTTGGTCGAAATTCATGTCAAAATCTTACCCCTTAGATTCGAATACAGACATAGGTCAAATTTCCCAATCGCATAACTCGGTCAAATCTCATCAGATTTTCAAGAAGTTTGGTTTTTTATGCATAGTTTTCCCCCTTAAATAATCTGGCATTTTAATCTGACTACGTAAATTTTGGTCGAAATTCATGTCAAAATCTTACCCCTTAGATTCGTATATGTACATGGGTCGAAATTTCCCAATCCCATAACTCGGTCAAATCTCATCCGATTTTCACGAGGTTTGGCTTTTTATGCATAGTTTTCCCTCTTAAATAATCTGGCATTTATATCTGACTACGTAAATTTTGGTCGAAATTCATGTCAAAATCTTACCCCTTAGATTCGTATATAGACATAGGTCAAATTTCCCAATCCCATAACTCGGTCAAATCTCATCAGATTTTCACGAGGTTTGGCTTTTTATGCATAGTTTTCCCTCTTAAATAATCTGACATTTAAATCTGACTACGTAAATTTTGGTCGAAATTCATGTCAAAATCTTACCCCTTAGATTCGAATACAGACATAGGTCAAATTTCCCAATCCCATGACTCGGTCAAATCTCATCAGATTTTCACGAAGTTTGGTTTTTTATGCATAGTTTTCCCTCTTAAATAATCTGGCATTTAAATCTGACTACGTAAATTTTGGTCGAAATTCATGTCAAAATCTTACCCCTTAGATTCGTATATGTACATGGGTCGAAATTTCCCAATCCCATAACTCGGTCAAATCTCATCAGATTTTCACGAGGTTTGGCTTTTTATGCATAGTTTTCCCTCTTAAATAATTTGGCATTTAAATCTGAATTCGTAAATTTTAGTCGAAATTCATGTCAAAATCTTACCCCTTAGATTCGTATATGTACATGGGTCGAAATTTCCCAATCCCATAACTCGGTCAAATCTCATCAGATTTTCACGAGGTTTGGCTTTTTATGCATAGTTTTCCCTCTTAAATAATCTGGCATTTAAATCTGAATTCGTAAATTTTAGTCGAAATTCATGTCAAAATCTTACCCCTTAGATTCGTATATGTACATGGGTCGAAATTTCCCAATCCCATAACTCGGTCAAATCTCATCAGATTTTCACGAGGTTTGGCTTTTTATGCATAGTT